AGGTAATGTAATTAAAAAACATAGTTTGATAGGGTCAAAGGTTATACATTTATGGAATACAGTTATTCAGTACAGTGGACCCCCAAGTTTCGTGATTAATCCGTTCCAGAGAGCCTGCCGAAAGTCGAAATTCACGAAACTCGAAACCATTTTCCCCATAAGAAATAATGGAAATAAAATTAATCCGTTCCAGACACCCAAAAATATTAAAATAATTTTTTTTTTTCAAATTAAATGAAGATTTATATACTGAAATCAATGAGAAATCAAGTACATGCATATAAAAAATAATAATAACATTACACTTATGCAGGAAAGAGTAAGGTTATGAGGATAACAAAAAGATTAGGTGATGAAAGATTGAATATCAGATTGGAGGGAGAGAGTATGGAGGAGGTGAACGTATTCAGATATTTGGGAGTGGACGTGTCAGCGGATGGGTCTATGAAAGATGAGGTGAATCATAGAATTGATGAGGGAAAAAGAGTGAGTGGTGCACTTAGGAGTCTGTGGAGACAAAGAACTTTGTCCTTGGAGGCAAAGAGGGGAATGTATGAGAGTATAGTTTTACCAACGCTCTTATATGGGTGTGAAGCATGGGTGATGAATGTTGCAGCGAGGAGAAGGCTGGAGGCAGTGGAGATGTCATGTCTGAGGGCAATGTGTGGTGTGAATATAATGCAGAGAATTCGTAGTTTGGAAGTTAGGAGGAGGTGCGGGATTACCAAAACTGTTGTCCAGAGGGCTGAAGAAGGGTTGTTGAGGTGGTTCGGACATGTAGAGAGAATGGAGTGAAACAGAATGACTTCAAGAGTGTATCAGTCTGTAGTGGAAGGAAGGCGGGGTAGGGGTTGGCCTAGGAAAGGTTGGAGGGAGGGGGTAAAGGAGGTTTTGTGTGCGAGGGGCTTGGACTTCCATCAGGCATGCATGAGCGTGTTTGATAGGAGTGAATGGAGACAAATGGTTTTTAATACTTGACGTGCTGTTGGAGTGTGAGCAAAGTAACATTTATGAAGGGATTCAGGGAAACCGGCAGGCCGGACTTGAGTCCTGGAGATGGGAAGTACAGTGCCTGCACTCTGAAGGAGGGGCGTTAAGTTGCAGTTTAAAAACTGTAGTGTTAAAGCACCCTTCTGGCAAGACAGTGATGGAGTGAATGATGGTGAAAGTTTTTCTTTTTCGGGCCACCCTGCCTTGGTGGGAATCGGCCAGTGTGATAATAATAATTACACTTACCTTTACTGAAGACTTCTGGGTGGATGGAAGATGGGAGGAGGGGATAGGAGTAAGGTGTACACTATTGTTTGGAAGGAGAATCTCCTTCCATTAGGACTTTAGGTAGCAAGTCCTTATCTGGGGTTACTTCCCTTCTTCTTTTAATGCCACTGGGAACAACTTGAGAGTCACTGGACCCCTGTCGCACAAAATACACCTACCATCCGACTTACGACCAAGTTCGGTTCCGAGAAAGCGGTCATAAGTCGAAATGGTCGTAAGTTGAACTTTACTACTGAATATCAACAAAACATTTTTGTAATGACTTTATTTTATTGTTTTATTTTGGTATTTCGTGTTTTATTTTACTTTTTATGCTGTTAGTACTGTATTTTATACTGTAAGGTTTAGGATAAACACTTTGTACAACACAAATAGTTGTTTATTTCCCAGAATTTGGCATAAAAAACACGGTCGTAAGTCGAGTGGTCATAAGTCGAGCAGGTCGTAAGTCGGATGGTAGGTGTATCTGTCCAGAGAGGTCTTTTTCTGGCATTTCTTTAAGATTTCCCTGAAGTGGGACACAACACTGTCATTGTATGTGTTGCAGATATGGCTTGTTTCAGCTTGATCAGGGTGATACTTTTCAACAAAACTTTGCAACTCATTCCACATTCCACACATGTCCTTAATCACTGAAGAAGGAACCCCCTTCGCTCTCTTTTCCTCCTCCTCTGAAGCAAGTTCCTCAGCTGTGGCCTGATGCTGTTCCAGTTGAAGCTCTTGCAGTTCGTCAGTGGTTAGCTCTTCCCTGTGGTCCTCCACCAACTCTTCCACATCTCTGTCACTCACCTCCAACCCCATGGACTTGCCCAATGCCACAACACCTTCCACAACAGGCAGAGGGTCGGCAGGGACAGGGTCTGCCTCAAACCCTTCAAAATCCCTCTGGATCGTGTTCCTCACTTTATTTACGAAAGGTCTTGCTCTAGCTTTCCTTGGGTCCATGATGACTTATTTAGCAGTTGCAAGCACAAAAAACAATGGATTATTATGAAATGTATTGTATGAACCCACGGGGTGATGGTCACGTGTTGGTAAACAATGGCACACTGAGCGTGAGTGGCGTGGGAGACTGGCTTGGTGTGCGCGGTGACGGGCAGAAGGGTACCGGACGGTCGCTGAAACACGAGTCTAATCCCGAAACTCGAGGCCAAATTTTGCCAAAAGAAAACTCGCCGAAGGTCGAGTTTCACAAAAGTCGAGGCTGCCGAAACTCGAGGGTCCACTGTATTTATTTAGTTGTGGGTGAGTAAGTGGTTTTAAAGAAGAGTCTTGAATTGATAAACAGTGTTTCTTTTGTATTCAGAAAAGTTTAAAGGACATTTCAATATTATTCACCAAATTAAGATTTTGGTGACATATCCTAACGCCTCCCTTCCGGTTGACATTTATATTGACCAGTATATAAATTAACATACCTGTAGTGAGAATTAGTACACTATGAGGCAGACATTACATGTGGTGTCAACTTCATCAATTTCTGACGACACTGCTTCTATTATACTTTATTTAATTTCATTTGAATATTCGGCCGATTTCCAAATTCCTTGAGAGAACCAACACTACCTCTCAGGACGGCCACCCGGGCTGGATGGTCACCCGGGCTGTACTCACTCAGATTCAGTTGGATTTATTATATTGACACCTGGTCGTGAGGATCTGCTCTAGAAAAATATGTTTGATTCAAGAATTAGCTATTTTTTATAATAATAATAATAATAATAATATATTTACTACAAGTACATGTACATGGTACACAGGTCTGGCTGATATCAATGACATACTACTATATAGAAAACTCCTTGTTATGCTGAACATTTTGGGCAAATTAGGTCAGTGTCCCAGGATGCGACCCACACCAGTCCAATAACACCCAGGTACCCATTTTACTAATGGGGAACATAGACAACAGGTGTAAAGAAACATGCCCAATGTTTCTACTCTGGCTGGGAATTGAACCCAGGCCCTTGCTGTGTGAAGCGAGAGCGTTAACCACCAGGCCACTAGAGACGTTGTTTGACTTCTGATTGAGTCGTTATGACTATCGTCGTATAAACAACATTATTGTCCTTCCAGCAGCATCTGTAAACATTACAACAAAATGGTTTTTCATAATTATTGTAACTTAACCCTTTGAGGGTCCGTCCCGTAGATCTACGACTTTAAGTTCAGGGTCCAAACCGTAGATCTACGTCATGAGCTCAGCTCACTCTGATAAACTGTGAGTGGTACATTTGGGCCTAGATATGAGAGAATACATCTATGTGGTATGTGTGCACCACATAAAACAGATCCTGCAGCACGCTGTGTATAATGAGAGAAAAAAAACTGAAATGATTTTTCGATTAAAACAGCGACTTTGCAGTGTTTTTTCGTATGTTTTTTATAGTTCTATTTGCGATTTCTTGGTCTCATTTGACAGAATGGAAGACATATTACAGAAATAGAGATGATTTTGATTGGTTTTAGCACTGGAAATGGCTTGAGACTGAGCTCAAAGTAGCAGAAATGTTAAATTTTTGCCGATATTCAAGAGTAAACAAACGACCTCACACGTCTAATACACTCCAGCTGGTGGGTCTAATATACATTCACAAATATGGTGATGATATTTATACAATTATTACAGTATTGCATAACAGTAAATCTTCTATTTTTTGGTGTGAATAAAAATTCATTATGTGAATAAAAAATCAAAATGGAATTTATTTGTAAAGCCTCAAAACATAACTAATGAACAGAGGAAATGTTAGTTTAGTTCCAGGAATACCTACATTGTTTATTCTGGAATTTATTTTGAAATTGGAATATTTTGAACTTTGTGTTAAATTGGCCAAATTAACAATTTCCGATCACTTTAATTTGTAGTTGAAACAGTTGACTTGGCGATTTCTTGTGCTCAATCGATAGAATAGAAGTAATACTAGTGAAATAGCTAAGAATTTGGTTGACTGGAATAATGTAATTGGCCTAAAATGGGAGTCAAAGTTGGCAAAATCGCCAATTCGTATATATCGCTGACACATCAAAATTTGAGAGAGCATAATTTCGTCAATTTTCCATCAAATTTCGTAGTTTTTATTTTATTACCTTCACAAAAAGATTCTCTACCATTTCATAAGAAAAAATAAAAAATTTTTTTTTTTTAAATTCTTGGACACTGGGGCACCACTTCAGATTTGGGCCTTGGACCCTGAAGGGGTTAAATCACAATTTCCGTCCATTTTTTCATGAAAAGTTACATACTCTTTATTACATTTTCTTAAACCTGATCTCACATATAAGAGATCTAAAGCATACCATGGGTGGGGTTAGAACCCACGATCAGAGAGTTACACAACTCCAAACCGACACATTGGCCACTGGGCCAGCTGGTCCAGTGGCTAACGCGTCGGTCTGGAGTTTTGTGACTCTTTGATCACATGTTCTAACCCCACCCGTGGTATGGTTTTCTTGCAATCTTGTCCCCTCAAGGGAGGTTCCTTGATGCTGGTGAGGGGCTCTTGATCTAGGGAATTGGATCTGTTCTCCAGTTCCCTGAATTAACCCTGGATACCTTCCACATCCCCCCCACATGTGCTACATATTCCTACAGGTTTACTGCTCCCCCTTGATTATTATAATAATTGCAATCGTGTCATTACAATTTTGTGAGTCATAAGAGATCCCATCTTTCAGACGAGTTGCATCTGTGCTTGTCAATATTCTTCTCCTGGTTACAGGAGTCTGCTCACGCTGGATGGAGCCTGGAAAAAGACAATGCTGAACCAGTTCCATGATGTGCTACCTGGTTCCGGCATAGCCATCATCTACCCAGAGGCCACCAGGCTCTACCAGGAGGCTATGACGGCAGCTCAGGACGTGTTCCATAATGCTGCCAACGCCATCTTCGGTAATTATAATAATATTTATGGGTCATACAGTGCATGGGGAATAATGATTGTAGAAAGTATAATTACGCTGATATGGATTAAAAGGATTTTAGTACAAGATTTATTGAATTTGTTTTGGTCTTGGGATCTTGGTCACTTCAAATGATACAAGATAACTTTTCATCCTTCTCTAAATGCTCTCCAGTGAATTTATATCCATTCTGCAGTAAAGAGAACAAAACTGAGCAGCATAATCTAAGTGTAAAATATCTTTTTGACTTCTGATATTTATACTTCTTGATATAAATTCAAGTAATCTCTTAACCTTATTATACACACTTAGGCACTGTTGTCTTGGCTTTCGATTTCTGCTTACCATGACTCCCAGGTCCTCTTCATATTCTTTGTGATCAAGCTCTGCATCACCTAATTTATAATTTCGAGGGTTATTTTCATTCTCAAGGATTAGAACTTTATTTACACTTGTCCACATTGAACTACATCTCCCACATTTCAGACCAAAACATTAATTTGTCCAAATCCTTCTGGAGTTCCTTGGTAGCCCCCTCGGAATCAATCATTCGGCCCATTTTTGTGTAATGGTACTTGCAATTCCTTCAAGGTCATTAATGTAAATTATGAACAGCTATGGGCCTAAAACTAATCCCTGTGGAATGCCACTAGTAACCAGTCCCCTATTCAAATGACCCCATAAGCGCAAACTCTGCTTTCTATTGGTAAGCAATGCCTCGATCCATGTTAGAACTTCACACCCTATACCATGAGCTGCCACTTTTCTTAAATCTTTTGTGAGGTACTCTATCAAAGACTTACTGAAATCAAACCATACTAGTCACTTATTGAAATCCAAATAAATAATATCTTATTCTTCATTGCTGTCCACCACCTCAAATGCTTTATTGAAGAACGTCAGTAAATTTGTCAGGCAGGAACCTCTCGTGAATCCATGCTGAGACTCGTTAATCAAATTATGCTTGTTAAGGTGGCCTCTAATAATATCACCCATAGCTCCTAATATTTGCTTACTATAGACATCAGGCTTATTGAAAGGTAATTTGATGGAATGGACTTATCCCCTGATTTGAATATAGGAAATACATTAACCATCTTCCACATCTCTGGCACAACACGAGTTTGGGTAGACGCATTGAACACGCTCGTTTGCTGCTAAGTTCTAACTTGTACTAATCAGAACCCTTGAAAACAGCTTGTCGGGGTCCGGGGACTTATTGTAGTTCAGTTTATCCATTGGTTTGATAACTATGCCCCACATGACAGTAATATTATTAATTTTTCTTCAGGACCTGAATAATTATTAATTACTGGGATATCATTTATGTCTTCTTGTGTGAAGACTGACAGGAAATAACGTTTAAAAAGAAAGCACTTTTCCTGTCAATTATCAACCCATCCCTAATTCTTAGCAGTCCTACTTTTTCCCTGACCTTTGTTCTGTATACTTGAAAGAATTTTTTTGGATTAATCTTTTATTCATTAGCAACCTTAATTTCATAGTCACATTAAACATTTCCAATCTCTTTTTTACCTCTTTCAAAATGAAAGTATTGGACAATAAGGTTAATCTCTCCTCCTATCATGTGCCTATAAATTCCTATTTTCTCTCTTAATAGATGCTTTAGTCTCCTATTCATCCATTTTGGATCATTCTTTTTTGACCTAATTTCTCTCTGGGCTCATTGTACATTATTAACCCTTTCAGGGTCCCCAGGCCCTCTCTGAGACTTGTTCTCAGGGTCCCCAAATTTAAAAAAAAAAAATATTTTTTTCTTATGAAAAGCTAGAGAATCTTTTCCCGATCGTAATGACACCAAAAGTATGAAATTTGATGGAAAACTTACGGAATTATGCTCTCGCGAAGTTAGTGGTCTCGACGATGTTTATGCATCGGCGATTTTGCCCATTTTGAGCCCTATTTTCGGCCAATTCAAGTGTACTAGTCGACAAAAATCATAGCTATTTCACTAGAACTCTGTTTTTTCTATCGAATGAGTACAAGAAACCACCCATTTACTGATCTCAACTATCCAATAAAGTGGTCAGAATTTAGCAATTTTGCCAATTTCACACAAATTTCAAAAGATGCCAATTTCCGAATAGAGTTCAGAATAAACAAGAAAGACATTCCTAGCACTAAAATAACAAGTTTTCTGTTCGTTAGTCACATCCCCAGGCCCCTCTTATATTTCTTTGGCTTTCCACTTTGAATTTTTATTCTTACAAAAAATAGAAGATTTACTGTTATGCAGACTACTGCATTAGTGTAGAAATGGTATAAATAATATCAGCACACTTGTGAAAGAATATTAGATTCACCAGTTGACGTGTATTGGATGCTTGGCATGATTTGTTTACTTATGAACTTTGGTAAAAATCGAACATTTCTGCTACTTTGATCTCAATTTCAAGGTACTTTTCATTGTAAAACCAGTCAGAATCATCTCAATTTCTGTAATATGTCTTCCATTCTATAAAATGAGACCAGGAAAACTAGAATACAACAATAAATACCATACGAAAATACAGTGCAAAGTCGCTGTTTTAATCCAAAAACACGGTCAAATTTTTTTTTCTCATTACTGCAGGATTTTTTTTTATAGTGCACACACTGACCACATAGACACATTCTTTCATATGTAGGCCTACCAGCTTTCTCTCACTAGATTTGAGGGCGCTAGAATTTAGGCGTACTAGTACGTCAAAAACCCTGGGGCGTAAGCCGTACTAGTACGGCCAAAACCCTGAAAGGGTTAAGAAAAAAGTCGATGATCTTATGATCGTCAATAAATTCATATTACCTCTAATCATGTTACCGTCATGTGTTCCCTCCCTAAGTCCATTATAATTGGCAGAATGAAAATCGGGGACTTTCACTGTACAGTGGACCCCCGGTTAACGATTTTAATCCGTGCAAGAGGGCTCATCGTTATGCGAAATAATCGTTATGCGAATGAATTTTCCCCATAAGAAATAATGGAAATAAAATTAATCCGTGCAAGACGCCCAAAAGTATGAAAAAAAATTTTTTTTACCACATGAAATGTTAATTTTAATACACACAAACTGAAAAAGGCATGCACAATTAAATGACACTTACTTTTATTGAAGATCTGGTGATGATTGATGGGATGGGAGGAGGGGAGAGCATTATCTTCTTACTGTTTAGAAGGGGAATCCCCTTCCATTAGGACTTGAGGTAGCAAGTCCTTTTCTGGGGTTACTTCCCTTCTTCTTTTAATGCCACTAGGACCAGCTTGAGAGTCACTGGACCTCTGTCGCACAACAAATCTGTCCATAGAGCTCTGTACCTCCCGTTCCTTCAAGACTTTCCTAAAATGGGCCATAACATTGTCATTGAAATAGTCCCCAGCACGGCTTGCAACAGCTGTGTCAGGGTGATTTTCATCTATAAAGGTTTGCAGTTCAACCCACTGTGCACACATTTCCTTAATCTTTGAAGTAGGCACAATGGATTCCACAACTGGCATAGGCTTCTCAGGGTTAGCCCCAAACCCTTCAAAATCTTTCTTAATTTCCATACTAATTCTCACCCTTTTTACCACAGGGTTGGCACTAGAAGCTTTCTTGGGGCCCATGGTCACTTATTTTCCAGAAACAGCACCGAAAACACTGTAATAATACGAAATATTCCGAGTGTATGCTTGGATGTTACCGCGGAGGCTGGCTGGTAAACAATGGGACGGCCGGCACATGTGAGGGCACATTGGACGCGTCTCGGACGAAAATCGGTAAGCGGGTTTTTAATCGGTATGCGCGGCAAAAATTTTGCGATAAAAGTAATCGGTATGCGGAAAAATCGCTATGTGATGCCATCGTTATGCGGGGGTCCACTGTATTATCCTTATTCTCGTACTCCCAGGTATTATGATTAGATTTATGATCACTTGCGCCAAGTTCTTCAGTGATCTCCAGATTATTCATGAGTGTTTCTTTATCTGACAAGACTAATTCAAGCAAATTATTACCTCTGGTAAGCTCTGTTACACACTGCTTCAGAAAACAGTCCTGAACTATTTCCATAAAGTTACTGGACTCCAGATTACTGGTCAAAGAAGTACAGTCAATTTGACTAAAGTTGAAATCCTCTACTATCACTACGTTATCGTGTCTAGAAGCTAACAATTTTGTCCCGAAGTCTCCCTCTATTGTTTACTAAGCCAGGAAGATGATATATCACATCCAAAATAAATTTTTCTTGATTTTCTAGAAATTCTGTGACTAATCCATCTATTTTTATATCTGTTTTTATGCAACAATTTATATTTTCTCATACATATAATGCTACTCCACCCCCTTTCCAGTTACGTATGTCTATCTACAGAGAACAACCCTTGAATGTGGCACTCGGCAATAATGTCTCAACTCTTTAAATTATGCCATGTTTCAGTTAATGCAATAACATCAACGTTTTCCACACATGCTACCAAATGTAATTCATTAATTTTATTTCTGGTGCTTTGACTATTAGTATAAAATACGTTAATATGTTTTTTCTTCTGCACCTTTTTCATATTCAGCTTTACTTTTCCACAATTTCTGTTATCATCGTTACCCAATGTTACTTGATGACTGTTATTCTTAAGATTCATGATATCGAAGCCTAAATCAATATTTATATACTCCACATTTTCCCTTGCTAAACCCATACTTCTAACTAATCCTAGTTTAAAGCCCTAACAACACCCTCAGCTGAACTAGCAAGAACACCCACACCTGTCCTGGATAAGTGAACCCCATCCCTGGCATACATGTCATTTCTGTCAGAGAAGTGGTCTCAGTTGTTAATGAATGGTACTGCATTGTCCTTATAATACCAATTGTTATGAACAGTCATTCATTTCCAACATATAACAGGGTACCTCCCATCTTCCGAATTATGTCAATTGTTGTCCTATTCCTGTTAACTAAATCCTCACTTATATACTTGCCTACATCATTTCCTCCAATGCTGACACAGATA